ATTTCGTGGGTAGTGGAACCGGGCCCGTTGGTCAGCTACGCCTTTTTCGCCCATTTGAGGGCATACTCACAATACCGTTGAAACTGAAAAACAGCGGTGTGATGACCTGTCCAAACATGGACTGAAACACACAGCTGATTTCTGAGTTTTGTCCATAGACTGAATGCCCTGCTGACTTTCCCGCTTGCTACTAAGTCTGTGTGTGGACGCTTGCTGGACTGCATGTCTGTCTGAGTGCTGGTTGGCTTGAGTGTGTGTGTGGCCGTGCCTGTCTGAGTGCTGGTTGGCTTGAGTGTGTGTGTGGTCGTGCCTGTCTGAGTGCTGGTTGGCTTGAGTGTGTGTGTGGTCGTGCCTGTCTGAGTGCTGGTTGGCTTGAGTGTGTGTGTGGCCCGCAAGGGCACTTGCTCATTCATTGGGCCCTCAGGGCCGGTACTTACCTGTGGCCGTGACATTTGAGGGATTGCAACAGGAAAAACACTCAAGTAGCGGGTAGGCCGGTACCGCACCCTGAAGGGGTAGATGTGCGGCAGAAGGAGACAAAAGTGGCATTTTTAGAGGCCCAGTAGTTGTAGGTTAGGTCTAGGTGGATACCAGTCCAACCAGTCTGGGTCTAGGGCCTGTACGGGCAATATCAGAGTCTGCAATGATGTTTCCCTCCGAAAGGGAGGAGGTACCGGTTGCTTGGAAGGCCGAGCGGCCTGGAAGTCACTGCCCGAAGAGGCAAGCAGGCCACTATATCTCCCAGTCGGGCGAAGAGCCCGGCCTCTTTTTCGGTGTGCAAGTTTGGCGACACACTGGTGGAGCGCTGGTTGGAGCAGCTCTGCTGGGGAGGAAGGAGAAGGACACGGGGGAGGAAGAAAGAAGGAAGGGGGAGGAGCGCCAGGGGTACTTACCTGGCTATGGTGGCAGCCATCTTCATCACCTTGGTGGGCGCTGCAGCAGGGAGTCCCCAACTGGGGAGAGCCACGCCAAGAAGCTTCAAGGCAGGGATGGGCATGGTGGCCTGAGCTAGAGCAGCCATAGCTGCTTTGGGTTGTCCTTTGGGCATCTGGGCAAGGCCTAGTAGTCCGCCATAGCCTCGGCCTATGAGAGTGAAGCATGGGGGAGGCGGCCATGGCTATGGTGGACCTCAAGTGATGCCTGCAGTAGAAGAGGGACTTGGACATTGATTGTGGATCAGCTATTCAACACTGTATTATTATTTCTTGTATGAATAAGAGAAGGGGGAGATAAGGAGGAGGAGATTGTTGGGCGAAGAAGAAGAGCCTTGTCATTTGTCTGTGCTGGTGTACATCATCTTCTTCTTCTTTCTAACTTCTTCTTCTTCTTCTTCTAATCCTCTCTCTTCTCTCAAGTTCATTCATTTCTTTCTGCTTTTGGGCGACATTGTACTATCTGATGGATGTGTATCTCGAAATTGGCCAGGATCATAACATTGGTATCAGCGCGGATTCTACTTGCTGGTGAGAGTTGACTTTGTCGCCCTAACCCTAACCTAAGTTGTTGAGGGCACCACTTAGGGTTAGGGTTGGTTTATGAAGGGAAGAGGGGCAGCGTGGCTGAGGGAAGCTGCCCCCACCTTGTTAGGTCACAGAGGGTCGACGTTGAACCTAACCAGGTTGCTTGAGAGTGAGATTAGGGTGGCGAGACAGCGATTTGAGAGAGGCGACAGTGAGAGGCACTTGCACCTAGAATCTGATTCAAGGGAGACACTTGGCAACTTAAGGGCTGCCCTCAAGTAGGCGAGCTTGAGGGTCAGCGGCCACTCAGCATCTACGGACTGCAAGTTGCTACTTTGTTCTTCAACATCGACGGGGAATTCGGCGTTGCACTTGGGTGTTGGAGTCGGACCCTCCTAGGAGATAGGACACTAGTGTAGGGGTAGCGTTAAAGGGGTCAGGAGGATCACATGAGAGGGGGGTGAGTTCTATTCATCTCGAAGCTCAAGGCCACTCAGGTAAGTGTCGTGCACCTACAGGATGCCCATGTGTGTGTGCATGGTATGGTTTGTCCTGTTGGGGTTACTCTGGGTTTCTTTTCCTACTCTGTGGTCTTAGGTGTGTGGTTGAATGCATGTGATCTACCTACTCACCTGATGGATGGGAAATAAAGTATCTTGATCTAAATGCCGAGTCTTTCTACAGTGCTTTGTATTTCATCTCTGAACGATTGTAGTCTGTAGGTTCTGCCGGAAGTTGAAATTTTGTTTTTCAGTACAATAGAAACTGAACTAAGTCCATGAGGGACTCCTCGTGGTTGGGACCTGGCCACGACCTATGTGGGACCTTTGGAACCCAGTGGACCGGGCCTAAACAAGAAGAGCCCTCTGGTCCCAAATCGGTTAGGCATTAGCCCATTGTCTTCTGACTATGTTACGGAGTTCTTTCTTCTTGGTTAGGACACCCACTGCCGAGGGGATCTCGACTGAGACGTTTCGCATGTCTTTTGGTTGCACTATCCGTGGCTTGACTCACACCCTGTACATCACTCAATTATCCATTGTTGCATTTAGTCACTCGTTGTCTGGTTTGTTGTACGGTCACGGAGCTGGTCAGACTGGACTCGAGAGGACCTCGTATGCAGTCTGATCAGACAAGGTCGCTGGATCAGACCTCTCGTGGACATTTTTTCTTTTGGTTTGCTGCTCTCTAAGTCCAAATGAAATGCCGCTCCGGCTAAGAGTTCTACCTTCTCTTCTCTGCTTTTTAGTCTGTTTCTCTGAGTTCATTTCCGATGCCCGTGGAGACTCGCAACCAGAAAGAAGAGAGAGAGAGGAGGGAGAGAGAAAAGGAAGAGAGGGAAAGTGACCGTCTGGAGTGGGTAAGGACAGGGAAAAGGAGTGTTCGTCCAAGTAAAAAGGGGAGTGCACCTCTTGAGAGTCTAATTGATTCTTTTGTTGATTGGCGTCTCTCTGACCCACCTTCCAACACTAACGGTCCAAAAATGGCCCAGCTATCCTCAGGACAATGGCGGGCCCTATTAAATGCAGCCAGCGATACGGAGAAACCGTGTCTGCAAGCACTCCTAGATAGTGCTATAGAAAGAGAATAGGAAGCGGAGAAGGAGAGGAAGGAACAACTGCTGAAAAGTCAGGAGGCCATCTTGGCAACTGTTCCCTTGCTGACCAAAGAACAGTGTGAGGAACAACTGCAGTCCATACTCACCGCTATCGTCCAAGTCTGGAGGCTTGAAGATCATACCATCTAGATCCAGGCTACGCGGGCTGGGGTTCCAAAGATTGAACTGACAAGGTGGCTTAAGGCTACCCTGGTTGCCTCCCTCGAGGAGCTCCTCATTGCCCAATATAAGGATCCACGCGCTGCAGCAAGGGCAAGAAGCCAGCTTGACAAAATCAAACGTAGCAAGTGGACGGGCTCCATGAAAAGCCAGCAAACCTATCTCAACAAGATATTTGCTACACCTGATCTCGAACTGACTGACCAATCTTGCTTGGATGTGGTCAAGGGTGCAGTCCCCATCAGTTTCACTAATCACGTAGGCAGGGACTTCATTGGGTATACTTACTGGTTCACTCTAATGAAGGACATAGTCAGTCTCGAGGCGGTAGACCCCGTCACCACAGCAGGCAGCAAAAATCCCATGGGCGGCAGGCGGTTCAAAGGCAGCAGTCGTTTTGTTGTGCATGACCTGCTGGAGGCTGAAGAGAAGGTTGACGCGGATGACCCTACTCTTGGTGACGACCAAGAACAGTACACTGATACAGCCTGTTCGTCAGCCCATGAGTCTGATGTAAATCAAGAAGAATAAAAATTTACTGCCTTTAAAAAGACTGCCAATACAAGGGGACCGAATTGGAATGCAGGGAAGAACTATGTCCAACTTCTCAAGGGAGTCAAAATTCTAGCAAAACCGGAGGATGCGACCACTAAACCATGGGTCGACCTTCGGATCACTGAAAATGATTGGCGGGGTAGACTCAAGAAGGGGGTATGTCTGCATTGCCAGAAACCAAACCATAAAGTACAAGATTACTATAGGCTGCAGGGAAACCAGAACCGGGCGTAGAGTCGACTTCAACACATTCTACAGCAAGGGAGACTGAATCTGATGCAGATCAGCAGTCCTCCCTTGAAGCCCAATCATCTGTTGAAGCCGAGGCTGAAGTGTGTGATGTGTTGTATGTCGAGCCTTGGGAGGAGTCTAGGACGGTCGACTTCCACTACCAATTGGAGCATTGGGCTGAGATCAAACAGCAGCGTGCCCGAGGGACATCGAAGCTGATCTTCTTCAAACTTCTCATAAACCACCGCTATCTCCGCGTCTTGATTGACTGTGGCGCGACGACTAACTTTATGTCACCTCACGGGATACGCAAAGTGGGCTTGGGAATGAAGCAAGTGGCTTTGCAAAACCCTTGCCGAACCCAAGTTGGCAACAAGAAAGTTGCCTCTTGTACGCATGCAGTCAAAGGTGTGCGCACTACCTTTGACAATAACAAAATTGTCACCCACGCGCTGAACTTCTATGTCCTTGACAAGTGCCCCTTCGATGCTGTCCTTGGCTTGGGCTGGCTGCAGTCCCAATGCGAATGGACCAAGTGGAAGGAGTCACTTTTCATGGTCAAAGATGATCAAGGGAACGAGCTTCCCGTCCTCCTGGATGAGAAGCACGAGTCCCTAGTGACTTTTTTGAATGCTATGAAGGTCTACAAGAAATGGTGCAAGCACAAGGAGGATGAACAATTGTATGTTGCCTTTGTTCGTCCTACTCATGTGCCATCTATTTTTGCGGTTAGTACTACTACTACTTCGGCTAGTGATTCTACTTCTAGCACCACTACTTCTCTACCTTCTACTAGTCCAAATGATCCTACTTCAGATTCAGTCGCCTCTATTCGCAACCTACGACTTGATTTAGGTGATCCCTTTGCTGATCCTCCAACCCCACCGGTTCCACCAAACATCCAAAACCTACTCGAACCGTTCCCAGAAGTTCTGGTCGAGCCACGTGGAGTCCCCACGCGATCGGTTCGACACCATCGAGTTGGTCGAGGGTGCTGTTCCTCCAAAGGGTTGCGTGTACCAGATGGGACCCGGCGAGTTGGAGGAACTCCGACGATAGATTGACAACATGATTGACAAAGGGTGGATCAAGCCTAGTGAGTCTGAATTTGGTGCTCCTGTCTTGTTTTTTCCAAAGAAAGGAGGCAAGCTCCGTATGTGTATTGACTATCGTGGCCTAAGCCGCATCACAAGAAAGAACGCCTATCCATTACCTCGAGTAGATGACTTGCTTAATGCGGCAGGTGGGTGCAAGGTCTTCTCCAAGATCGATCTCAAGTCTGGCTACCACCATATTGAAGTCGATCTTGCGAACCAACACAAAACTGCATTCAAAACACGCGATGGGCTTTACGAGTTTACCGTAATGCCCTTCGGTCTCACGAACGCACCGGCCACCTTCCAAAGCCTCATGGACAAAGTCCTCCGCGAACAGATTGGCCGGTTCGTGGTGGTCTACCTCGATGATATACTAATCTTCAGCAAGTCCATGGAGGAACACCTCAAGCACCTTGAGGAAGTACTGACCATCCTCAAGAAGACGCAACTCGATCTCAACTTAGAGAAATCTGAGTTTGGGAAGGATAGTGTCATCTATCTTGGGCACCGGTTGTCTGTTGCAGGCCTAAAACCTGAGGCAACCAAGGTGGAGGTTATACGCAACTGGCCTCAGTCCGTGAATATTCACGAACTGCACTCTTTTCTTGGTCTCGCGTCATACTATCGGAAGTTTGTACCCCGCTTCTCCATTGTTGCGCGTCCATTGTCTCGATTGACAAGTAAGAATGTTCCCTATTCTTGGGATACCGCGTGCACGAACGTCTTTCAAGCTTTGAAAGACTCCTTGGTAAGTTACCCAGTACTCCGCATTGCAGATCCCAGACTAACATTCGTAATTACTACAGATGCAAGTCAGTATGGAATCGGCGCAGTGCTGCGGCAAGATGACGGCGATGGCTTTCGACCGCTCGAATTCTACAGCAAACGCATGCCCAGCATAAAGGTAGCCACTTCCACCTACATGCGCGAGCTCTATGCTTTGCATATGGCTTTGGACCATTGGAAACACTATCTTTTGGGACGCCACTTCAAATTGTTCTCAGATCACGGAACCCTGAAGTGGATCAAGGAACAAACTACCCTGTCCCCTACGTTAATTTGTTGGTTCCATGAAATTGTCATTTTTGACTTTGAGTTGAGACACAAAAAGGGTTGTTATAATCGAGTCGCTGACTCATTGTCTCGCCACCCTGAGTACATGACTTACCTCGTGAAATCCTACGACCTCCATAAGAAACTGAAGGAGGAGCTCGTAGAGCAGACGGCCAAGGATCCGGAACTTAGTCCCATCCTTGAGCGGCTGCGGGCTGATCCTAGTAGTCAGCCTGATTTTCATGAATATGGAGGAGTGCTTTTTCGTCGCTACGGGAACCATGACCGCTTGTGTGTGCCCAACCATGAGCCTCTCCGCACGCATTTTCTGGATTTGGCTCATGGCCGGAGCGGACACTTCGGCATGGCAAAGACGTACGCAAATCTGCTGCGACAGTTTGATTGGCCTGGCATGAAAGGGACTGCTGAAAAGTTTGTGGCTGAGTGTCAAGTCTGTCAACGAATCAAACCATGTAGACAAAAGCCCATGGGGCTACTCGCACCCCTTCCCATTCCCGATGGTCCCGAGGAGTCCGTCTCCATCGACTTCACCGACATGGGAAAGGTGAGTAAGAACGGCTACTCAAAATTCATGGTGATTGTTGACCGATTCTCTAACTTTCTCAATCTGATCCCTTTGTCGCCGCACGCCCCAACAGAATTAGTGATTCATGAGTTCCAACAAAAGTACATTCTACAGTTCGGGACCCCGAAGACTCTCGTAAGCGATCAGGACCTGCACTTCATTAGTACTGAATGGAAGGACTTCACGTCTCATCTTGGGATCAGGTTGTGTATGACATCTGGCCGACACCTTGAAGCCAACGGTTTGGCTGAAGAAATCAACCAGACTTTGTTCCAACTTCTCCGCGCTTTGATTATCCCGGATCAGGAGACATGGGATGAAGAGTTGTATTTCGTTAGGGGGTTGTACAACAACTCCATCCATTATGCCACCGACATGGCACCCAACAGGCTGCATCTCGGTTGGCAGATCCATAATCCGCTCTCCTACCTATTCCCTAAGCAACCAGCTGGCTTAACACCCGACAGGCTTGGCTTCAGGGCCAAGTATGATTGCTTGCTCAAGGTTGCCATTGCAGCCATGACCAAGCGACAACATGCCATGATCCATCACGCGAACAAGGGGCGTCGACCGTCGGACATTCAGGTAGGAAGCTATGTCTGGGTCAAGATGTCTGAATTCTCAGAAGAAGAAGGGGTCTCTCACAAACTTCTCCCACTCTATTACGGACCATGGGAAGTTTTGGATGTGATTGGCGAAGACCACTTTGGCCCTTCGTACGCAGTTGATGTGCCAGCCCATCTGCGCACATACCCCGTATTCCATGCATCGAAATTGTACCTCCACCGTGATGCTAAGACGTTCGACTATCGCGAACACATGATCCCTCGTGCGATCAAAGGCGGGTCTGAGATATATATAATCAAACAGTACGTAGGGAAGGGACGCAACAGACAATACCAGGTTCACTTCATGTATTACCCATTAGACAATGTGTACTAGATTTCCAAAAAGGAACTGCTACGCAGCGCACCGCGCGCTGTCAAAGCCTACGAGCGCCAAACCGCCACTAACGCTATACCTAAGATCTCTGCAAGACTCACTGCAACAGAGTACTCTAGAAACCTCTTTGCCTTGTTTGCTTGCGATGTGTTTGTCGAGGACTCAAAATGAGTTACTCGCTCGAAGCGACCTCGCTCTTGGGGGGGGAGTAGTGCGATGTCGCATACAAACATGGACTGAAATATACAACTGATTTCTGAGTTTTGCCCATAGACTGAATGCCTTGTTGAGTTTCCCGCTTGCTACTAAGCCTGTGTGTGCACACTTGCTGGACTGCATGTATGTCTGACTGCTAGTTGGCTTGAGTGTGTGTGTGGCCGTGCCTATCTGAGTGCTGGTTGGCTTGAGTGTGTGTGTGGCCCACAAGGGCACTTGCTCGTTCATTGGGCCCTCAGGGCCGGTACTTACCCGTGGCCGTGACATTGAGGGATTGCAGCAGGAAAAACACTCAAGTAGCGCGTAGGCTGGTACCGCACCCTGAAGGGGTAGATGTGCGGGTCCTGGAGGTCGAGCAGAAGACGACAAAAGTGGCATTTTTAGAGGCCCAGTAGTTGTAGGTTAGGTCTAGGTGGATACCAGTCCAACCAGTCTGGGTCTATGGCCTGTACGGGCAATATCAGAGTCTGCAATGATGTTTCCCTCTGAAAGGGAGGAGGTAGCGGTTGCTTGGAAGGCAGAGCGGCCTGGAAGTCACCGCCCTAAGAGGCAAGCAGGCCTCTATATCTCCCAGCCGGGCGAAGAGCCCGACCATTTTTTCGGTGTGCAAGTTTGGCGACACACGAGTGGAGTTAAGTGCTCATCTTCAAGCTTAACTTTCACCCCGGTCCGCTTTACCATTTGGTTGAGTGTTTGCCTCCAGATAGGGAGGTCAAGTGTTCGATCCTTGAACAGTGCAGACTTATAAAAAATGTATTTACAAATGCATTACAGCCACTCAATCGACCTTGCAGTGGCTTGGGCACAATCGGGTGCTGCCATTAGCTTCGGCTGGTGTGCAAATTTGTCTTCATTGTGTGGTG